CTATTGAAAATCTTTTGCGACCCCATGTTTAGCTTTTATGGGAGAATTATGTGCTACAAAATCCAAAGGAGGTCAACATCTGGATCTGTCGCAAAACATTGTCTTTACTTTTCCAAAATAGGAAACTTCGCCAACAACATGAAAGGCTCTCGATGGACATAGTCCTTACTCGACCTTTTGATCAATTCCCATGTGCATACATTTATGTACATATTATGTATATATGATGAAAAAGGAAGCGTGGTGCAAAAATCTGGAAACCTGACAGCCAAGCACCTCAAACCCAAGGGTCCAAGGATGCTTGGACATTGCAGCGCAACCAGAACCATCTTTGTTCCAGCGCACGAACAACTCAACGAGATGTTAGAAGTTGTTCCAAAAACTTGCAAATGAAGGTTTCCAAGAAGTCCCCACGCCTTCCATTGAATCCAGAAAGGGTGCCGCGCATGTCGTCAAGGGCTACCACATCGCCATCCTGCTGTTGGAGTTTGACACGCACACAAACAAAGTTGTTCCTCGACTACTGGAGACGAGCCGCCGCTAGGCACTTTAGTCTCTTTCGCAAACCAACATGTGTCTCAAGAAGGCTAGACTGATGTGCACAGTCCTGCAAACCATGATCAGATGCCAAGGTCAGGACCAAGACCTGTCCGATGAACGTCCAAGCAAAGTAGTGGGTGGTTACTGATCAAATGCTTCAAACAAGAATCCACACCAAAAATATCTGAACTTGGCATCAGACCGTGCCACCTTCCGAGCACCCATCAACCTGGCAATCTGACTTACAGGCAAGTGGTGCCAAGCAGAGCAACATGAGCCACACTCTTAAGATACACTCTTAAGATAATGGTGAGTCTGCTGAAATGTCCCTTTCTGCGAAGAGGGCTCACTAACAGCTCCAGCCCACACTCTTGCTGAGCACTGACAGTCCAACTGTGCGTCGAACATGGAATTCAGAACAGTACAGCTCTATCCATGGCGTCCTTCACGATGCCAGTGACTGGCACAACCTCTGCGGCACTCACTGCCTCAACTCCCAAGCTTCAAGACAGCCCATGGACATTGGCTGTGTACTACCAACACTCCTGCCCAACTGAAACCCAATATTGCTTTCATTGTGTGCTTCTCGCCTTCCCCGTTGTTGATTTCAATTGTAATGATCCTCTTCCAATGTGGCACATTCGATAGTGGTTCCCAACGGTCTCAGGGCTATTTGAACCTCTCAGTGCTGCACAAGCATCTGCGTTGGCTCACCATCTTCATCCGAGATTATATGCCTTGAATCATGTGCATTGGTCATTTGTCACTACTCTCCGAAAAATGTTCAAACATGTCAGGCATGTTCACAGTTTCAAGACTTCAGTTTAGCATGCCAAAGAAACAAACCAAGGAACCCCAAGGAACCCCAAGTCAAGATGCTTTGCGCCAAAGTCGGAAAATATCGATGTGGTCACACCCATGTTGACAGCAAGCCTCAGAAACGACAGCAAACCCCACGACTCCAGCGGTAGCTGCTGCTCGCAACACTCTGTGTAGACACAGAAAACATTTAAATATGAGGCAGCTTGCGGGGTTCCTGAATAGTAATATTGTTGCGTTGTGTCATTTTGATCCGTTTAGCTCTGTCGGCGGGGTTGAAAATAGGCATTTGCTGCGTGGCCTTAGATTTTGTTTGGAACATGTTGCGAACCTCTGGGCTGAAACAAAATCCAGGAATTCTAAGGTCTCGTGACTCGCGCGCGTGTGTGTGTGTGAAGACCTTGGAGTCACAGGGATTCTTTTGAATTAGTTCTATTCTCCTGGTTTTATCGCAGCAGGGGGCACAGGCCCATCATGGATACCTGTGCCAACGAAGCTGTTCCACGATGGGGGAAGCGGAGGTTGATCACCGCGTACCTGCTGAAGTTTGTGGCGTTGAGTCATCGCGTCCCACTCTAAAGCTCAGGCTGGTGAGGTTTCAGAGGTCGGCAGATGATCATGAAAGGGCTACTGCATTCGTCGCTCGAAGCTTGCTTGTCAAGTTGGATTTTCATATTCTTTTGAATTTTGGAATCTTGGAAAACCGCTTCTTGGAACTCTTTAACCTGACCTCTTAGGCTTTCATACCAGGTGGGCGTGTGGCATGTGGCATTCAGTTCCGTACGCATTTCCTAAGTGCGCCTCTCCTTAGTGAGAGCCCAGGGTGTACCCGAGGAGTGTGTGTGGCCCCGTCAAACGGGGGTTTGTCTAAGTCCCCCCTGCTCAGGAACGCACGTGCCCACAGCGGGCAGAGTAGGCTTGCGCCAAAGTTATTTGCCAAGACCTGATGAACTATTGCATACGAGTACTTGCTGGTTGGCATTTGGCTAAGGAAATTATAAAGATTGAAAACATATGTTACAACCGGCGTGTACCCTCCTTATAAGTATTTACAGCAACAGTAACATAGCTAAGTTTTTTAGAGCTAGGTCATGGTTTTGTAAGTACTTATAGGCGTTTATGATACTTAATAACTTTTGGACGTATTTTTGAAGAGTTTTGTAAAATTGAGCTCAGAGAACTTACAAGTAACTTAGGGAAGTTAACTTTTTGCTTCCTCACAACAATGAATTTGCTTGTTGTGTGAAAATGGTCGTTTCCAGGTGTTTTTTGCGGACCGATGGCTCTCCCGACAGCAAGAGCTGTGACCAAAAGTTCCAAGAAAAGAGATGCTTTAGAAAGACCGTAGGCAGATGTTGTCTATACCGATGGCGGCTCTTTGAGCCGCCAGCCAGTTCGATGATACGCGTCGATATTTATAGTTATATGTATCTTCATTCAAAGTTGAAAACGGCTCTTTGAGCCGCTCGTTGGGTGATACTGTAGGTCGAGTGTACCTTGAAATAGGTTGATGTTGCAATTTTTATTTCGGCAGTGGAGAGCGGCTCCTTGCGCCGCTTTGTTGGTGGGAGGGTTGCATTAAATGTTGCTACAGCCTTTTCCAAAGGTTTTTTAACACAGCAGCTCAGGTGAAGAAAATGAGTGATAGCTTTTGGTGACAATATGAAATCTAGCTCAATGTAGCAAAATGTATCGGAATGTATAACTTTGAAATTACTGGAGTTACACACGTATAACTCTGATGTTTGGACTTATACATGTATAACTTTGAAATTTTTTGGAGTTATACATTCTTATACACTACGCTACATGGAGATACATTTACATTCAAAAATTCCGATTGTGTGTTGGCAATGTTTCACTTTCTTGGCCAACAAACGTTGACAAGTTTCTGGATTGCCATAGTTTGCGCGTGTATGCGCGTAGCAAAACGTACAAAAAGAAAACATTCTCCTGGGAATCAATATGTGGCATTCAGTCTTGCTTAATGGGGCCGCACTTGGATTTTAGTTAAATATCGCATGACAAATCAGATACAATTGAATTAAACATTTACAGTATTGAAACTCATGTTGACATATCCCTTGTGTATTTCTAGTGGGGCTTGCAAGTTCAGAAAGCAGTGAAACACTTTCACACCGACCCTATGAGCTTTAGAGATTTTCATGGGCCAAACCCTTGTTTGACAAGATGTTTTTCGCGCGAAAATGGATCATTGTTTTGTATACTTATCAGAAAATTGAAAAATGTAGTGTCTGGAAAAGTCTCGAGAACTTATAGAAGTTTTGTTTCATACAACTAACTCAGCTAAGTTGTGAATTAGCTTTAAAACTACTGGTTGTGTAACTTCTGTAACTTAATTTATAAGTCTCTATAAGTTTTTGAAATACCAGAACTAACTTTTAAACCAAAGCCAACCACCAAGTAGGCAGCCTTCGGGCACGCCAGAACGTGTCCGCAGCGGACATGAGTAGGCTTATGCCTTGAGGTGGTCGCAGCGACCTAAGCATTTCAAGGTCCATTGGGACCTGTCCTAACCTCAGGTGCACATACAGCGCACACATTTTAAACCAGGCTCGGTTTGCCTAGGTCTTTTAATGAGCTTTGGTCTCGTTGGTTTCTGGCCCCTCCATTTGGTCCCCCCTTCATCACCTACACCTTTCTTTCCTTTGTCTTTTCACGTCCTTCTGCGGGCCACGTTCCGTCATCTCACACCGTTCTTTCTTTTGCGCTCACACAGCCCGGCCCTTAGCCTTAGCGTGTACGAACACCACTTGCCTTCAACCCAGGTTTCAGGTCGTCAAGGACTTGACAATGAGGTTCGGTTCACTGGTTGTCCCCGCGCGCTTGGTTTTCCCCTTCGTCGCAACCACACACACTGGTCTTGTCTTGTCCTCTTCTCACGTCTTCATCCTTTTGTCTCCTTTGCGCGTACACATGCGCATTTGCTCGCCTGAAACCCCTTGGAGCCACAGGGGTTCTTTCAAATTTGGAAAAGATCCGGCCTCCCTAGTCGGGAGGCGCGTGTGCGAAACCCTTGGAGTCACAGGGATTCTTTTGAGTTGGTTTTATTCTCCGGGTTTTATCGCAGCAGGGGGCACAGGCCCATCATGGATACCTGTGCCAACGAAGCTGTTCCACGATGGGGGAAGCGGAGGTTGATCACCGCGTACCTGCTGAAATTTGTGGCGTTGAGTCATCACGTCCCACTCTAGAGTTCAGGCTGGTGAGGTTTCAGAGGTCGGCAGATGCGCATTATATAAAAGGCTACTGCATTCGTCGCTCGAAGCTTGCTTGTCAAGCTTGATTTTCACATTCTTTTGAATTTGGAGTCTTTTAAAACCGCTTCTTGGAACTCTTTCGGGTTCACCTTACATACCTTTAACCTGACCTCTTAGGCTTTCATACCTCGGCGGGCGTGTGGCATGTGGCATTCAGTTCCGTACGCATTTCCTAAGTGCGTGTTTAAACTGCTTAAACATGTGAGAGGTCAGGTTCAAACGGTTTAAACAAAAACCCTGAGGTTTAAACATGTGTTTAAACAATATGCGTTTAAACGTGAGGTCGTGTCCCAGCACCAAGCGAACAGGACAGGCTCGAGCAGCCGCAGAAATGTTTTGGCACACACAGCAAGGAGTTCGTCACAGCACCGCTTTGCGGTTCCGGTAGATCTGCACGGCTGGCAGATTCTGCTGGGCGGAGACTATCCTTCCAAGCATCGTTGGCTCAAGGCGTCCATGGCTTTGGTCATCACGTCTGCCACCGACACTGAAGAGCCGCTCAGTGCTAGCCTGGCTAGCTGGAATGCCCAAGAAGTACCGAGCTGGCACAAGGAGCTTCGGGAACTCACTGCCATGCTTACGCCACCAGACCAACGGTGAGGTTTCGTGCATTGGAGGAGGTGCAAGCAAATAAGCGAAGGCTTCTTGCTTCAAGGCAGACTGAAAGGAAGACCATGCTTCTGTTTTCTGCTGCTCGCCTTGCACTGGCTCCTTCTCTTGCTTCTTCTTTCCATCAGCAGGTGGGCTGGCATGACTGAACCTGGCAAAAAGCTTGTCTGACTTGTGCTTCGTAGGGGTTATTGGAGCATCCGACACATCTTGAGTGTCAGGCGGAGAGTCGAACATCTGCTTGTAGACTGCCAAACAGTGCTGCGCAAAGGTTGCGTTGACTTTCCTTCTTGCTGCCATTGCTGTCTCATCTTTGGGGTCATTCACATGTCCTGGCAACCACCCCAAATCCTTGAAGACTGGGTCAAACATGGCAGCAGTAATGAGTAGGCAGCGGCTTTGGACAGGAAGGTCGTCATAGTAGCTGTTGTACTCCTGGAGCAGCGACTGGCGCAGCCTGATTGCAGTGTCTGTTAAGACTTCTTGCGAGCACGGGCTCTCAGAACCATCAGGCTGCATGACATAGATGGGGGTCTGTGGCTGCAACGAAGCCCGGACAGCGGAAAGTGTAGGAAGGTACAAGCTCGAGGTGACATACTTGCTTCCTTGAATGACATCTGTGGCGGCTCCAATAGGAGAGAGGACGCCCACACAATCGCGCAGTCGCAGGAAATATAGCTCTGTCCATTTCGGCAATTTGGAAGGATGGGCTTTGCAATACTCGAGGATGCTTTTCTGCTTGTTCCTGAGAGCGCTCCAAAGGGTCAATTGCAAAAAGTCCACGTTTAAACAGTTTAGGGTGGTTTAAACGTTCAAACCAGTGCAAACGTGTACCAAAACAAAAAGAAATAGGGACACATTCGAAGCATACAAACACTGAGCATCAAGTCCAGGGTTGAGTTCCATCTTGTCTCAGTGTCCTGGGTGAGCTTGTTCGGACTCTCGCCACTGTTCTTCGCGAACTCCAAAAGCTGCTTCCAGCCTTTGCCCGACTGGTGAAAGTGCTGCACCGTGGAGCGACACATCTTGACCAAGTCCAAGACATCTGCATGGGCCTCATACTTCGATTTAGATGTCTCGGAAGCAGGCGGAAACATTTGATGTTTCGGGGGCAGCTGCAGGTTGTGAGCTGCGCATGGCACATGTTCGCCCAAGTGCCGGCAGTTGGTGTCCTTCTTGTACTGGGTCATGATTTCATTGCAGGCCTTCTTGATGGCGGCCTCTCCATCCGTCGTCAATGTGCCAACGCGTCCCACAGGAAGGCCCAACAAGTCAATGACTCCTTGAAGGTGCTCCCGCTGATTCGTGGCAGTCTTTGCTTCTGGAAACAAGGCCATGTCTGGGCAAAGGCAGAGGAGCTCAAAGAAAGGAGACACCCAAGTCACAATGGTTCCCATAAAGTGGTGACCGGATGTAGACGCTGTCCAGAGGTCTGCTGCAAAATGGATGCATGTTTTCTCGTCCTGCGAGGCCTCATGGACCATCGCCACCACATCCTGCAGAACCAAAAAGTCCGAAGTGGTCTGAAGAGAGTTCGTAGGTAGGTACTCGTTTAAACTTGTTTAAACATTTATGTTTAAACATGTTTAAACACGGCCCTAGTGCACAAGCGCTGGTTTCAATCTGTCCTCCTCGATCTTATCCAAAACACGAGGGACCACTTTCGCTCTCATCTTGCCACGGCTGCAAAAATGAAAGCGCCCATCTAGCACCGAGACAAACTGCCTAAAGCCTTCTTCTTCACACATGCTGAAAGGATGGCCATGTCGGATGACCACCTGTTCGGCGAACACATTCAAAATCTCCTCGTTCTTCACTTTTGGATGCTTCATGTGGGCATGCATGGTCTGCTGACCAGGCTTGGACCCAACAGTGTCCTTGCCAATGTCGTGCTTCGCAAGGTGACGCTCCAACGGGTTCATAGCTGCATTTTTGAGGGTAATGATGGCTTTGGGGTCGTCCGACGTTCCCCGACGCCCCGAACTGCATGTGTTGCAGTAGAAGGTACTGCCTGGCACCTGACCATCTGCATCACGCCTCTGGTGGAAATGGTTGTACACCCAGGATCGTCCTTTTGGGGCAATCTGCTCCACATCATCTTCATGGAGAACTGCAGGCTCAGCAGCAGCTTCCCGCGCTCGTTTGAGGGCAGCACCCGAGACAGGTGCATCGAATGCCTTTCGCTTGGCCATGCTCAGTTCCTGCTACTGCTGGTGCTTCTTTTGGACCTTACTGCCACTGTTGCTGCTACTGCTGCTGCTTTACCGCTACCATCATGATATCATGAAAAGCCGTGACCTCACAGGCTACACATCTGAACCCCTTCTGTGTCTTTGTGCCACACCGCTGCAAAAACATAAAACTCAGAATTGAAACATGGAGATGACTGTGGTTTCTTGCTTCAGCATGTTTAAACACGGAGACCAAGGAGCGCCGTTTAAACGTTTAAACCAATCTGGAGACCAGCTTGCAAACATGTTCAAACAGTTTAAACATAAACGGTTTAATGTTTAAACGTGTTTGTGACTTACCTCTTGGAATCACCGGGAATCCTTTGATGTTCAGCAGGGGGCTCTCGGAGCCTGCATGAGACGAGAGCCAACGAAGACGCTCACGCAGTGCTTGTGCAAACGTACCTCCTGCTGACCGCACCTCATCATCTAAACGCAGCTGGTGGGTCACACGCTGTTGGTCCCTGCTTGCAATTATATAGAACAATTCATCCAGCCTTCGCAGTGGTTCTCTCACTGCGGTCATGAGTTTTGCAACCTGTGCGACGTACAAGTTCAAGGCTTTGGAGGCTTTGAGATGGTCACAGATGGTCAAACCGCTTTACCTACAACCTGTTCACCCAGACAATTTTTTCATATTTTTTCACTTAGGCTTCTTCAGGGCTTGGGGCGATCAGTTCAGTACGCATTATCCCGAGTGTGCGCACGCCCTTGCAAATACTGTGCACAAGTAACTAAGTCCAAGACAAACAACAACCCCACAGAGCATTACCATGGCGTTTAGCTTTCAGCACGTGTAAGAAAGTCAACTGTTGTTGACTTTGCATGATTCTCTCAGATGGCTGTCCATGATGAATTCATGCATATAGTGAAGGTTACTTCAACTCTTCAATCCAAGGCAGTTCTGCTCACAGCTGGGTGGTTGACACAAAAGCTGCCCCTGCATTCCGTGCGGCTTCATTGAGGGCCACCTGGCAGGAAGAGCGGATTTCACTGCCAAAGCGGGAGAGCCCAATAGCAAAGAACTCGTCAGACTAGTAACAAGTGCATCGCTACTAGTAACAAGGGCATTACTACTAGTAACAAGAAGATACTGTTAGCTAAGGGCTTTAGGTTCCTCATTCGCCTAGAATAAACTTTGCTGGTCGTACTATGCTCTCCCTGGGCATTAACATAGTCACCACAACAGCTCCATAGCCACGGCCTTAAGCGGGCAGCAATGAGAAACAAATGATTTCAAGTCAGCTGAACTTGGAAATTAGTACATCAATATCTACATAGGGCATTTTTGGTTATAGAACGGTTGATTCATTCTTGCTAAAAACCTGTCGACCGGACAATTTCAATTTTCCCCTGTCGGCATGCGATGGTGCTGGTTCACCTGCCACCCCAATGCAGGACAATAGTCCTGCCCACTGTACAGTACACCCTGCCAAAAATGCAGGTTCCTTGTGTGAAGCTATCTATGCAATTATTATCAGTGATTAATATTGTAGTATTTAGAAGCGCTGTATATCTCAGTATAAACTATATATGATCAATTCAATCCAAATGCTCATGGCTTCAGAAAAAGGTTCTTCTTGGCCTTTGTCATACGCAGTCTTGACACCTGAGGATGGGTGCTTGCTCTGGCATTCGCCGTCAAAAGCCAGGAGACACATTCAGTTGCTGCTTCGGCCCCGAAAACCAGAATAGATTTACAGTATATATACAGGACAGGATTTCCCCATGGCACCAAATCAAGAAAAACTGAAAGTCTAGGATCTATGGACCTAGGGGCAGCACTGGCTGTGGGTCAGCTGATTGTTTGCGTCTGCTTGGCTTGCTCTTGGCAACTGCAGAGATGCTGTCGCCGTCGCCTGTCTTTGGAGCCTGAGCACCGGCGAAAGAAACCTCTCGCCAAAATTTCAAGAACAAGCCTGCGCTCCTCTGACAAGTCTTTAAGTTCTTGCTTATGCTTAGCGACTCTTTGCCGAAGATTCTCGAGTGTCTCCAAGTTCTATATATTTGAAGGGCCGGGATTGGGGAGTAATTCCAAACTGCAGCATGAGATGTGTTGCTTTTAATACAAATAAGATCCCGACTGCCTCTGCCGCAGGAACACCTACACTCTTGACACAACCAATGGCATGACAATTAGAGGATGCACACAACCCCGGGCAAGTCCCTTCCAAGCCAATCTATCCTTATTCTAATACCATCCAGACTCAAATGTAAGACCTCCTAGTGCAAGACATGAGCTCGTGTCCATTGAATTCCTGGTGAACAATGGCCCTCATGAAGGGCAATGCCTCATTGTCGAAAAAATCACTCTAGATTGAGCTCGTCGCTGCGTGCATTTGCTGCAGAGCATTCGTTCGCGATCTGCTCGATTGCTAAGCGAAGCCAAAGCAGAGGAAAATCTGCCTCTCAACAAATCCAAGCTCAGTCTCAGTGTGAGGGCGGCGGAGGGACCCGCATCCCCTGTTGGTGACGTCTCGGCTTGTACCCCACGCATACCTCCCTTCTTTCTTCACCCTTCAATTTTCCTTCCTCCGCTTTCCTGCACCCTGTCACAACTTCCCTTCCCGTAGCACCACCAACTCTATGGAGCAGCTCAGTCAGGGCCTAAGACCCACCCAGCTTAGAAAGAGTGAACGACATCTCGCATCAAATTGCTTTGTCTCCAGTATCAAGACGGAAAAATACAGAAGGCCACATGTAAGTTGGTCGGACTCTGTTGGACCACGAAAAATCTAAGCTAAGCAGGAGACTTGCCTCCAGAGATCTGGCAGCCTGAAGGACATCACTTGCAGATGGCATTGGCAGCACTCCAGCCTGGCACCAAATCGGCAAGCAAAAGTTAAGCATGATTATATAATTATATATATATGTTTATGCACCAAGCTGCTGCTAAAGATTCTTCTGAGACGCTTCACTGCAAAGGTGAATTGCCTGTGTTGGCGCAGTGTTGAAGGCGTGCTTCTGCATTTTGCCAGTAAAAGCTCGCAAGGCTTTTTGTGCCAGTATGACTGCCTCCTGCAAACCAGCCACAGCGTGTACAAGGGTGCTGAAAGGGGTCAAGTTACAGCCACATCGGAGTTCCAAAGAGGGTGCATAGTTGAGGTTGTCGGGTAAGAAAGCAAAGAAACGAAGGCTTGACCAGTTCAGCTGAACATCCTTGCTTGTTTCGAGTAAAAGCGTCTCGTAGCACTCTGAAATCTCTGCAGCTCAGTGCTACATGCTTTGGCATGCTTTGGCAAGGTCGTGCTTGCATACTTATATAAATATATGTTATGTGCACGCACATTTTGTTCGCAAAACTTGCCGTCAAATTAAATGTTAGGTTCCCCAACTATCGCTTCCTGCAAAGCAAGACTATTCTATCCTTCACATACTTGCCAGAAATCCAAGCTGCCGCTGACTGACCTTTTCCAAAATTTCTAGGCACTCTCCACATGGGCAAGGCCAACAATCACCCGTCTGCTCACTTCGTCTTCCGGGCTCTTGGGCTGTCTTCGTGGGCCACCAGCTCCTTACATGACACAAAAGTCAAGAAACTCCAACCTCTTGATGTACGCACGCTACAGTACATGCACTGGGCTACACTACTTTGCTACTGCGTAGGGTTTGGATTGGAGGGTGTCACTTATGGCAGTTCATTCGATTGCATGACCTGTGCTTACCTGTCTACACATCCTTACACATTGCATTGCACAAACCCATTTACGTAAACACACACACACGATATCTCATAATTCTACAAATGGCCAAGAGAATTCCAGCAATTGCTGAGCCAACTTAAACAGAATCGATAATCTCAGTCAATGCATCCATACCTGTCAGCTTCAGTCCATACCCATCTGGTGGACCTATGTAAGCTTTATGTACAAGTGGACCTAAGGATATGTTTGAACGTTGGCCATCTTTGACCTCTCACCTAAAGGGGCTTCCTGAAGGAGCTCGTTGGATCTCTTTGACTGAAGGCAAAACTCGTGGCTCGGGCTGAACTCATGTGGCTTCGGACTCTTCTGACTCTGGCGAGACTCGGGCTGAACATAATCAAGCTTTGACGTCTCGCGCTTCTCAACGGCAGCAGCGCCCTGACGCTTTTTGGCTGCAGTATTGAATCTCAGAGAAGGCAAACATATTGTGTTATAGTGCCTTCGAACTTCAAACCCATACAGTAAATCCACGCATTGAAAAATCTCTCAAACTGCGTTCTTCCTGCCTTGATGTCCCTCAGCGGGAGATTTTCCAAATGGAAGGCATGGTTGAAGCGACGGTAGCTGTACAGCCAAAGTACGGCGCTGCTTCCCTTAGGAGACACAATTCTTGATCGCGTGGTGGACCGCCACAAAACAGCTTGGTGGGACTTTCCCTGAAACTTGGATGGAAGCACGACACTATGTACATTATATATATATATATATATACATGTTCTTGTGTGACTGAAAAACAGTCACACTGGAAGCTTCCTCGCCCTCCGACCAACCTACGTCCCCGACCGGTCCACCGATCGCCGCGTCCGCGCTTTTCTACCTTCCAGGTGTTTGTCCGATCATCGTGTCCAGGCCTTGAGCCAACCATCGGTGGCTTCACACTTGAAGGTTCCCTCCATTGGTGTCGGTCGATCGAAACTCTTCGATTCACACAGGCTTAACTTTCTTTTTCAAGTGTGACTAGTTCGAAACTGCTTCGATCCATCTTGAGCTGTATGTCCTGTTCGGATTTTCCTTTAACGAGCTATTGTCGTCATAGATCCTGAACTTTCCGAGTGCCAACACCTTCCGAAGGAACGAAGAGTCCATAGGCTTCGTTAAACAGTCCGCTAGCATAATGGCTGTCGAGATCCACCGGCATTCAGTCGTGTGTTCTGACTGCTGTTTTATTAGCATGACTTCTATGGTTGTCCTCCACTCTTGGCAATTGGGTGTTGCCATTTTATTCACCAGGTCATACAAGCTCTTGCAATCCGTGATTAGAAGTGCTTTTGGCTCCTGCTGCAATGATTTTTCTGGTGTTTGCCACCTGAATTTTCCGTCTTTGATGACAGCCCACATGCATCTCAACCATGTTAACTTATCAAGAGACGAAGACATTGCGTAAGCTTCTGCACTTAAAGTTGATCTTACAACTCTGCTAATCTGTTTGGAGTGCCAAGCTACTGGGGATATCTCTGAAATCTTATTCTCTGCTAAGTTCTTTGTACAAGCTGCTATGAATACCCCTTGTTGCGGTTTTAGTTGATTCTCTGAGGCAAAACTTGCATCGCCGAAACTAGCGAATGTGATTTCGTGAACTCCGATTGGTTGGACAATGATTGATGTTTCTGCCGTTTCCTTCGTTTCCTGCAAAACTTTATTTGCTTCTATTAGGTCTTTTACCTTTGCACTGCATATCCGTTTCTGCAAGAATGCCACTTTAGCCATCATGTCCGGTCGTGAGTGAACTGCTGCATACTGAAGGCTGCCACACAAAGCTCGAAGCTGTTGCTGCTCTTGCTCGGTTACAGGTGCTTCCTGTTCTTTTCTTCTCAACTTCGGAATGTCTATTGGTTCAATCTGGTGTACATAATCCTTTTGTCCTACCTTGATCGAAAAGTCATCTCGTTGTTCTATGGTTAACCCAGTGAACTTAAACTTGGTGCTTTCATGATTACCGAATGGCAGTTTCTTTTGTACTTGCTGCAATGCTTTGTTAAACCGACTGTTTCCCCCTCCGATTGCATCATCCACATGTGTTCCAAGTATACCGTCCAACTTGGTGGAATCCGATGGGTCTCTCGGCAGGAACAAGCAATTGTCCAGGGGATGTGCCACAAATCCTTCATTCTCTAGGCATCTTCTAAATTCTTTGTAAAAAAGTAGGGGTGCGTCTACTCTTCCATATGCGTTTCCCTTCAGGAGGAGCACATGTTCTTTTGAGATACCCAGCAACTTTTGGAATTCTGGCACAGGCTGCATCGCAAGCTCGCGGTCGTCAGATCTTCCTCTCAAGAAAGCTGTCTTGATGTCGAAAGATTGAATCTGCCAATGTTTTGAACTCACTGTTTGAAGGACCATCATGCGGCCGTCCCTTGACAGGGTCGGGCTTTCTGTCGAGACCAAACCTACCTCTGGGTCCTGAAACCCTCGGATGACTAGTCTGGCTTTCGGTTTTCTCCCTCCTGGTGATTGATGGTCTTCTTTCCATGTTAATACCCATTTGGATGTCATTATTCGGCTTGGGTGTATTTTATTTCTTAACAATGGTTCAACTGTGCTTGTTTCAATCCAGCATTTCAATTCCTTTCGTTTTGCTTCATCGAACTGCCTTTTCTCCTCTTCTGTGCGGTTTCGGTATTGCACTTCTGTGTGTGTCTTCTTGGCGGCTTTGTTCATGACTTCTGCCTGGTAACATGGGTTTCTCATGAACTTTTCCAATGTTTTCACTGGAACAACTAATTCAAGGCTGCAGAACTGTGCATCGGCTACCTCAGATGATTCATCACTCCATAGAGTCCCTTTATCATCTATCCCCTCCGCTGCTCGATCTACAGCTTCTATACTACATGCATTAACCACAAAAGAATCTTCCCCTGATTCGTGTGGATTTTCCCCATTCCCTTTTTCCTGAACCGATTCATTCGGACCTAAGTTTTCTGCTAGTTCTTCATCTGCATTTGGGTCATCAACTGGGATTTGGCTGACATCTAGTCCTGGAGGAAGACTTGGCGGCTCTGCAATTGAGTTTCGCCGGATGGGCTCTTCTTCCGGCTGGCTTGGTCGGACTGGGGCTTCATTCGAAGGCTCTGCAATTGACGGCTCGTATTCTTCGTTTTCGGTCATGTCCGAAAATTGGAACATTCCGCTTCTTTCTCTTAACTGGCTTCGAAGCTGATCGGCCATCTCTTGAAGTCTTCTTGTTTCCCCAATCTGCTGAAAGCCGTGGTGGCTTTGAAACTCTCGCAGGGACACTGACCTCATATTTTCTCTGGCTACTCTTAAGAGGCGATTGAGGTGGGTTACCCAAATAATAGTTCGAGTTTCATGCATCACAACTTGACACGGACCTACCCACCTACCTTTCTCCAACATGTTTGGGGCTTTTCGCTTATCCCAAATCATGCACAGTTCTCCGCACTTCCAGTCGTGTTCTCTACCCCGAGACTGCCTCAGGATTGCTCGACGAATTGCTGCGCTGTTGTCTGCATCGATGAATGCTTTTCTTGCTTCTGTTCTAATGTTCATTCTTCTTTCGAAAGCTTCGGTTTGGTTGTCTTCTCCATCCCCTAACGAATGAGCTGTAGTATCTTCATCGCTGCAAACCGATCCAGGCAATCGAGCGGCTCTACCTAAGACTGCTTGCTCAGGACTGTACCCCTTTGCTATGCTCATGCTGTTCTTTGCTTGGAAACACTGGGAAAGTGCATAGTCGAAGTCCTTCTCAGTCTTTATAGGAGAGTGGTTATCGATTCTACTGAGCATTTCTTTGACCGTTCCACCGTGCCTCTCTATTCTTCCTCTTTGCCAAGGAGCAGCTGACGTCAGTGATTGGATCCCATGTTGTTGTAACATGTTTTTCCACTGCTGGCTTACGAATTCACCTGCTAAATCATGAACTATGGTTTGAGGGGGTCCAGCCCAATGCAACCATGTCTCATTCACAATTCTTTCTGCCTCTTCCGTTCCCCTTTGGCATCTTCTGCCCAAGTGAAAGTGGGTGGCTTCATCAAAAATGTGGATCGCATAGTATCGTTTGCCCTGGGAATCTTTCCATTCGAAACCGTCCATGGATATGACTTCGTTGAACTCCTTCGGTTCTTTCAATTTTCCTGGGCTGTGCAATTTCGGTGGGACCCTTTCTGAACATGATTGACACAGGTATTCACTTGCTCCATCTATCAGCTCTTGAGAGAATTTGAGTCTCTTTAGATGGCTTGCTAATTTCTCGGCCGTTGGGTGTCCTAGGTTATTATGCATCCTTTGAATCAGAGATTTCTGAAAACTATCCAAACTATGGAATTTTGGTCCCGAGTTGTTTGATGACTGCGGTGACCATGCAGGAACCATTGTTGCTGGACAGTCCTCCCAGTCTGGCTCACGATTCACCAATGCTTTTGAATCCGGCGGGGATTCGGATTGGTCTGCAAGGCTTGGCTTCTTCTCTACACCCGAATTGTCTGCCTCTTCTCCGAACCGAACGGGGTTGTCATGTTCTCCGCTGCCTCGTGCCTGATCGGTACTTGTCTTGCTTCCAAACAAACATATCATGATATGGCTTGGCATGGCATGACGTCTCTGTTTCCTGTTTGTCAAACACGTCCAATGCTCTTCTCCTAGGTCATATATTTGTTTCGTGGACCTGCACTGGCATATTGTTCTTCTGATTTCATGGGTGGTTTCTCCTACTAAATACTTGTCCATTCCCTTTCCTGCCAAAATTTGTTTCACTTCGAAATCACAATGTTCAGCAAGGAAATGACCGGGCCAGGCATTGACGGAGACATCAACTGATCCGGACTTTGGCAAATGCTTTTGGAACCATTCGAAAGCTTCATCCCAGGTTTCTCCTGTGAGAGTTGTTCGCACAGGATCCTCGGTTTCGGCTTTTCGCTTCGAATCTCGTGGCGCTTCAACTCGTGTGCGTTTCGCAGGAGGTTCGGCTGTCTCTGCGGGAAACAGGTCTTGCATTGTTTCTTCACTAATTATTGGGATTTCCGATGGCCTCTTTTCCTGCAAAATGCTCTTGGCTGCTGCACGTGCCAAAATTCTGGGATAGAATGCTGCAAATCTTGACAATGCCATCCTGTGGCCTTGATGCTTACAAGATCCGGCTATTTGGGCATGATCATGATTTTTTTGACAGTACCTGCCATCTAAGTCATGAACAATTTGGCTGGATGTTGTCTGCAGTCGGGTATGTTTCTTCAAAGGCCTACTATCTTCTGGATGCACTAGACCGAATCTGCATTGATCAAGTTTCACTGTCTTAGTTAACTTGATGATCACTTCCAGCTCCCTTTGGTTCCACATGTCGGATGTTCCTGGGTTCTCTACTGTGAAGTGTCTCCTATTCTGCACTTGGATTTTGCATATCAATGAGCAAAGTTCAAGATGTTGTTTGGACAGTTCTCTACTCTTTTGAATCTTCTCATATAACATCATGCTTTTGCCGGCATTGAATCTGTTCCATGCGCACCAAGGAAAACATTCAGGAGCTACCCAGACGTGCTTCGGCCGCAATCGAAATATCATTTCTAGCAATTGCACCTGACCGTGGAATGTGGTTAAGTCCCCGTGCTCTTTTGTGAATCTTTCTGACTTACCACCTTGC